AGATGGACTAGAGACCTGTCCAGATGTCCCTTGTCTCTGGCTCAATGACTTTTGGAGACAGACACGAGCATTACCCCTTCTTTCCACCGGAGCCGTCAGCAGCACGTTACTGCAGCAGCACGTCTTGCTCGCGTAAGCTGCTGCTTGGCCCTTCCCACGAGATGCGAAGCAGCAGGGGAGCCGCTGTCACCGACAGAGCACAAAGTCACACGAGTGGCGTCGTCAGTAAACACAACAACAAGCAGGAGAAAACTACAACATGGCTCCAAAAGGTTTGTGTTTTATGTTCTGTCCGTTTTATAATCGCAAAAACGGACCTGAAAAACAAAGGAGACCGCTAGCTAGATGATAACTTCTCACGGGGCCGCACAGTTAATAACTTTTTTTAAAGTAAAGCAACCGGAAGGCAGTACGTTTTTTAATTCTGAAAATCTCGGGAAACTTCGCTCCGTTTCAGCGTCCGATTTCCTGTCTGTCCTTCCCCAAAAATGTCGAACTTGACCCGTTTCAGAGGCGTAGTGCGTAGAAAATGGAACTGGTGTATGGCAAGCCATAACCACCACTAATACGCCACTTTCCCAACCCGTCTAGTTAAGAGATGGCAAAAAAACCGCCGTTTGATGTGTCAAGATGTTGTAAAATATGGCAAAAACTCTCCCAGAACGCCGTATTTGATGCCAGCCAGAGCCGTTCTTAACGGTCCCGTAGAATGCCGGACATTGAACGCCGTTTTTTACGCCACCCTAATCCCAGATGCGTTCCCTGTGTGGGTGGCGTAAAATACGGCGTTTTGTACGGGCATTGAACGTTGCTTTATTCGCCGCTCTGTGACATAAAATGCTAGCCTAGTGAACTAGACCAAATTCTTGCTTTGCAAAGAATGGTCTAGGCATGCTCCATTGGAACCTCTGCAGCTCCTACCAGGACTCTGGCTGGCCAATCACAGCTCTCTAGAGGGGTTTCAAACACATAAAGAGCTGTGATTGGTCCATAATGGCGGGCCAGTCATAGTGCTCTATCTGCTTAGAGAACAAATCACAGAGCTTTATCTGCTTTGTGGGCCAATCAGGGCACTCTATATGCCTGGTGGGTGGGATGATGCAACAGAGTGAAACAAGAGTATGTCACATTCTTTGTCCAGTGGAATGCGGAGATCAATTGAAAGACAACGGTAGAACCCGCCCCACAACCGAGAGCTGTCAATGGAGCGTGGCCAGACTAAATATTACATTTATTTAGTCTGGCTTGTCAGGCTAATAAAATGGCGCCTTTAATGCCACTTTGTGTCAGTTTTCATGCGTTTAAAATTCAACTTTACTCTCATTTATGCAGAGCCCTCCTCATGGGTTTCTCATCCACTTAATTTAAACTCCAGTGACCCAATGAAAGAAGAGGAGGTTGAGGCAGCAATAATTCATCCCAGATTCGCCGGGCTGAGTCCAGCTGGAACATCAGTGCTCTTTCTGTCCAAAACTCCCTTCTTCTTAAGCTCATCCACTTTGAGTATTTACTATTGTTTTTTGTTGTTGTTGTTTACTATTATACACAGGAGCTTCTGAAGATGTTCTGTCTTGCTTCTCCATCATCACTCTCCAGATCGATCAGACCAGCCACTCCAGAACCTTCCCAGATCCAGGATCAGATCACTTTAATAAAAGTTTGAAACATGTCTGCTTGTTGTTCTCCTATAGAAGCCTTAAACTAGAATTTGCTAATGAGCTTTCTTGGCTAAAATATGCTCTTGAATGTTTTTATTTACATAAATATTTCAAGAAAAACGTTTTTCATTGCTGCTTCACCAAGCCATGACTCTGAAAATGTCCTCATGATCCTGAAACGCTGGTTAAAACAAATTACTTTCAACCTCTTATAAAACAAACGTGTCTGTTGATGATTATGCCCACTACAATACTGAAGCACCTGCATACTTGCAAGTCAGACCCAAAAGGTCCAAGTGTCCCTGTGATGCTCTAGATACCTGTCCAAGTGTCCCTGTGATGCTCTAGATACCTGTCCAAGTGTCCCTGTGATGCTCTAGATACCTGTCCAAGTGTCCCTGTGATGCTCTAGATACCTGTCCAAGTGTCCCTGTGATGCTCTAGATACCTGTCCAAGTGTCCCTGTGATGCTCTAGATACCTGTCCAAGTTTCCCTGTGATGGAACACCAGATTTGCTAACTTTCTGTAATATTTTGATATTTAAGTTGAAAACATGAAATGCTGTAACACAAATTTCAAATGTTCTAGATGAACACTTGTTTCTAATCAACTAATCATTATTTCTGTGATTAGTCAGCTTTTTTTCTTTTCAATAAACACATGGAAAAATTACAATTATCTTACTGAAAAAATGGTTTAACAGTGTTGCACATGTATAATAATCTGCACTGGTTTTGACAGTTACGGCATTCTTCAAACTATAATAATAAAATAAAGTGAAAAGATATTTACAATTGATTACTTCAAGTTCCTACTATTTACATTTTATGCATCGATAGTGTAAATGGCTGTTTACTAAGGCATACAACATTAGAACCACTGGAACAAGAGAACAGGTGTTCTCCAAAAATCTTCTCAGTGACTACTGGTTCAGTGGTCCACAAAGAGCTTCTCTGTCTGTTTATCTGAGGAACCATTTTATCTTAAAAAAAAAACAGAACATCAGAATCTCCAGAACCTCTTAGAGGAGCTCAATGTTCTACTGAGGAGAGAACATCCACATAAACCTTCGCTGTGAAGAACCCTGGATGTTGTCCTGCAGGATAATCGCGTTGCTGGTGGGAGAGCTGAGAAGAATCAGAGCATCTGAAGAACAGAAAAGACCAGAGCATGGTTGCACAATTTTGGTCGTGGTTCTGTTTTGCTGTTCTGTGAAGTTGTGCCTCACTTTTTCTCTGTCCAAATTCTCATCAGATTTATGACACCATTGTTCCCAGTGAAGCCTCCAGAGGAGCGGTGTGGGCGGCTGCGATCGGGGTTTCCTAATGGAATGTTTATCTGTAGGAATTCTTCTAGCTGAGAAACACCAGGAGCTCAGTTAGCGTGTTTGATCCACAGGCCTTTGGAGGAGAACTGATGGCTTTTAGACCTTGTGAGGATATGTTCTCAGCAGGTTTTTGGTGAATTAATTGTCCTCCTAAAGACACAAACAACTTTAAACATTCATTAGGAGTTACTCCAGATGTTTCAACTGAGCTTTCATACATCCATAAATGTTCTGATCCACTAAGTTTCAGGGCTGAAACATCTCCTGTTGATGTTCCTGGAGTCTGAGGAACACAAGAACAAGCCAGCGTCTCATCTCAGACGCTGGCTTGTTTTTCCACAACACACAATGGTGAAACTTCTGCAGGTTCAGGTTCATCATCAGCAAAAGATCAGATTACAATATCATCATGGAAACAAGGCCTGAAGCTAATTGGCCATGAGCCAGAAATAGAAACGCGGTGCTGTTCCTGATGGACATGGGAACGGGTCCAGCAAGATCACGCTGATTGTTTGAATGTAAAATTAACTGCAGTTGAGGTTCTCACACTGAGGTCTGAGGACCCACTAGGGGACACTCAGGAGTTTTCGGATGTGCTCGAAGCCAAAAGTCTCTCATATGTCAGGAGTAAAAACAGTCCTCTGACAGTTTTATCGACACGGGGACGTTTCTGTTCTGCAGCGTCAGACCGACGGGTTCTAACCATTTCTCATTCTTTATGTTTGCTTTCAGCCTCTTTTACGGCTCAGCATTTTAGTTTATTCATGAGGAGGTCCATGTTCTACAGAAGCCCATTCCTGCCACTCTGATTAAAATTGTGTTAAAATCTCATAATTATGACTTAGCAGTCTCATAATTATGAGATATATTTTTTAGTCTGTGTGGCGGGAAAGGGCTTCCATAGTGTGTTATCCATCCAACCATCCATTTTATGTGCCCGCTTGTCCACGCAGGATCGCGGGGGGCTGGTGCCTATCTCCAGCGGCCTCTGGGTAAGCAGGCGGGGTTCTGAATGTTCTCATGAAATAAAAATAAACCTCCTTTGTGAGTAGCTGTGGGAAACAGCACCCCCTGTTGGTCATTTTAACTGATTTTTTTATATTTTATCAGAAGAAAATTTTGGGAAAAATTACACTATTTCAAGTTTCAAATCAATTCAAGTTTATTTATATAGCGCCAAATCACGACAAGAGTCGTCTCAAGGCACTTCACATAGTAAACATTACAGGTCGGTTCATTAAGCCAATCAGTAAAAAGTTTCCTATATAAGGAACCCAGCAGATTGCATCAAGTCACTGACTGGTGTTAGTGACTTTACAACAATCCTCATACTAAGCAAGCATTTAGCGACAGTGGAGAGGAAAACTCCCTTTTAACAAGAAGGAACCTCCAGAGGATCCTGGCTCAGTATAAGCAGCCAACCACCACGACTCACTGGGGATCGAGAAGACAGAGCAGACACTTTTATTTGCTGCTCAGATAAGAACAAGTTATTTCTTGTGATTTCTTACTTCTTCAAGGATAATTTACTTCTGTCAAAAAAAGACACTAAGAAACAGTAAAGTATTTATTTTAGTATTAGATGAATAATCATCTGTTCTGTTTTATATTGTGAAATAAGTTTGAGAGTTATTTATCAAAAAATTAGGATCTAAACAATATATTAAGCTTTTTCATCCTTAAAACAAAATCCTCCTAAAGATCAATTTGATGTTTGGATTTTCTGGTTTAATGCTAAATAAAACTTAAAAATTTTGTCTCGTAAACAGTTTCCTTGTTCCTGTTTAACGTTCAACTGGCTTGTTACCATCCACAGGCATTATGGGAGATTAAGTTCCCAGGAAGCTTTAGGAGATGGTGATGAAGCCAGAACAGAGGATCTCATGTTTAGGTGGCTTTTTGTTGTGATGTCAGAATAAATGTCTGATTTGTGGGTTTTCCTCCAAGTGTTTCCATGGAGACGAAGCGGTTTAATGTTTACAGGCAATGAGGAAGTGGACTCTGATCTCAGGTGTTTTCGCTGCAGCACTCTGAGATCAGTCAGAATCAGAGACATTCTGTAGGAGAACGGGACCTGAAGAACCTTCTGAACACAGTAAGAACAAAGACTCACCAGAAGCTGCTGCTCGTCTTTGTCGCTCCTCAGGATGAAGCTGGAGCTGAAGATTGAGCTGCTGAAGTTCTGCTTCAGTGTTCTGAACTCCATCTTCCTGGTGAGACTCCAAACACTTTAAAAACAAAAAGTTTAATTTACTTCTGCAATGTTTAAATGTTGTCATGTTTTAATTTATTCAGTAATTTGGTGAACTGAATTATTTATTTCAGATGAAATAAAAAAATTAGGGTAATTTATGATGTTATTTAATCTTTTTATCTTTTAGATGTTTTATTTCTAATTTGTGTTCTGCTCATCACCACTTTAGTCAATTCTATATTTCTGTACAGATCATTTTGTTTACTGAATCATTGTTTTCCCCCTTCATTATTGATATTTATCTTGTTTTTCTGTTCATTTTTTAAAAGAGAAACAAAAATTTGCTTTGATGTTTATATTTTAACACCATTCAATTTTTTGCGCAGAAAACAGATTTTCTTTAACCATTAACCCTAATTCCAGTTCAGGAAACAAATTTCCACATCCTGTCTGTGTTTTACCGGAGTGCCCCAAGGCTCAATGATCGGTCCCTTTTCTTCCCTGATTTCTACTGAACTGAAGGAACGTCTGAGAACCTAAATCTCTTTAAGATGCTAAATCCAAATCCTGTCAAAGTCTAAAGAGGAACTAACATAGGTGTCATGAACTGAGTTTTACCCATGCAGATCCTGGGTCTGAGTGTTGGAGGCTGTGCGCTCTGGATCCTGTTTGACACTGGAACCTTCCTGTACATCCTCTCCTCGGGTAAAACAACATCTATCTGTAAAACATGATGTTCAGGTAGAGGTCCTCAGCAGGTCCTGCTAATTTTATGTGTTCAAAACACTTTAAGCACCAAGTCAAGTTTCATTTAAACAAGGTCCAATTAATTCCTCTGCAGCAGAGCTGCATCAAGCTGAGGTGAACCTGGACTTACTTCCTGGTTAGAGAAAACAAACGGAGCATTAACCCAATGATGAGACTGGATGTGTTTTAATGTCCTACATGATGTTTTGTGTTGATGTTTAGAGGAGATGCGTGTGGTAGCAGTAGGACTGCTAATGATTGGGGGTGTGGTGATGTTGGTCAGTATGACTGGATGTGCTGCAGCCATTTGCGAGAGACGCTTCCTGCTGCTAGTGGTGAGTCACAACGCATCATCGTTAATCACCAGCATATACCTCTAGACCACCATCATCACATACCAATCACATTTCAGAGATGTCATTCCTCCAATAGGCCTGACAGTACCTCTGCGGCAACATGCAGGTGAAGTCTGATGGTGTTTAAAAATCTTCTGATCTTGAATAATGGACCAACAGATTACCAGGGACAGTGTCAACAGTCTTAAAGGTTTTCAATATGCTGCTTAGTCTAAAACGTCACCCAGTCGTGAGAACTGCATCAGTGTCCAAAGAACCAGATCCTGGAACCAATCAACTGAATTAATCTTTATGAGTTCAGTGGCTGGAGGACAGCAGCTCTGATTAGGATGCCCATACTGGCCACCTCCATTAGGAGGTTCTCCAGGTTTCTGTAGGAGATCTGGGGGCAGAGCCAGGACTTATGAGGAGACTTTATCCTCAATGACCTAGAGACACCTCGGAATGTCCTAGGAGGAGCTGGAGAGAGGGAGGTCTGGGATGGGTGGATGGATGGATGTGTTCTGCAGGAGAAATGACACCACTGGAATGTGACTGGATGGTTTACAATGTTGGTTCAGGTCCAAAGGGACTGAAACCCAAACAGCTGTCAGAAATTGGACATTCACAACAAACAATAAAAACACAAGTAAAGGGTTTCCAGAAACTGGAGATGATTTTAAATCTCACAAAATTCTAGTAAATACATTTCAGAAGCTGATATATGAAGATCAGGTGTTAAAACATTTCTGTACTTCCTCCTCAGTATGTAGTCTTTGTCATCGTCCTCATCCTCGGCCAGCTGTTTGTCTCACTGCTGCTGCTCATAAACAGGAAAAAGGTTTGGACTCTTCCCTCACACTTTTTAAATTTTAAAAGTTTGGTGGATAAACTGACTTGTCGTCGCCTGATGAATCAAACTCTGTGGTGCAAGAAAACACCAAAATGGAACCATTACAACAGTAGGGGAAGTTTCATCCATGTTTTTCTTTTATTTAGAGAATTCATTATAGGCTATGTTTTCTTTATGTTTATGTTTATTCATTTAGGGGACGCTTTCATCCAAAGCGACTTACAATTTATAACCTATAGGGCATGTTGTGATCTGTGGGGGAAACCGGAGTACCCAGAGGAAACCCACGCATGCACCCTCTCCGCATGCATGGGGAGAACACGCAACTCCACGCAAAAAGGCCGCAGCCGAGCCGAGTTTCAAACCTGCAACCTTCATGCTGCGAGGCAACAGTGCTAACCACTGCGCCACCATGCAGCCTTTATAGAATGTTGCATTAAATTTCAAAAAGACTAAATGGATTTCTGCTAAAATAGGACGATGTACTCAGCCTTTGAGGCGGTTAACCAGAATGGTGCCCTGAGGAACTCCTCAGTCAGATGAAAAGAATGAGTTCTGATTCTGGTCTTGAAACTTACTGAAAACAGAAGTTTGAGAACAGATGGAGGTTTTGGTTTAGTCACTTGCCTCCTGCCTGTTCTAGTTCTCTGTGGAACATCTGTTGTTTGCTTTGTTTGTTTTGCTCAGATTGAACAGAGTCTGACTGAAACTGTGGACAAGATCATCTCTGAGTACGGAGATGACACCAACGCTCACAGCAGACTTCTGGACAACGTTCAGCACTATGTGAGTCTGATCTTCTCATCTAAATGAAATAATGAATCTGTTTTCCTGAAAGGTTCTGACTGTTCCACAGGCTAAATGCTGTGGTAGAACCGGCCCGGCTGACTGGATGAAGAACTCTTTTATACAAAATCTGAACCTGACGAGTCCAGAAGTTCTTCCATGTTCCTGTTTCAGGTCATATCATCTCAGATTTACATCGTCTTGGTGTTCAGAAAACATCAGCTTCACTGAGCCGCAGTTTGGAAGAGGAAACGGGACCTTTGATCAGGTAAAACAAAGTTCTTCCAGCCTCACGCGTTTCAGATAAAAGTATCAGGAAACATTAAAGAGCTGAATGTGGTTCTCATTAACTGTTGATGGTTTGGGTTTCTGCAGCAGGTCAAGCAGGACAAAAAAAAAACCTAATATAAAGTTGAATAAAAATGTAAAAAAGAGTCAAATAAAAACTGGTTAAATAGATAATAGGTTAGATGATTGCTGCGTATGTCTACAGAGACCAGGCTGTTTTTGAGGCTGTTGACCTGTCTTTGTGACAGAATTGCAGTCAGAAGCTCAATTATTGGCTGCAGGAGAACATCCTAACCATCATCGGCATGGACGTGGGCCTCATCCTTCTCCAGGTAACTGAACTAATAAGCCTCGACAAAACCCGTGCTTCCATCAGCATCCTGATGAGTCAGATGATATTAATATTACAAGAGTAAAAGAAGTAAAATTTTTGGGAGTTATAATTGATGAAAATGTATCTTGGAAGCCACATATAAACAATGTGAAAACTAAAATAGCTACAACAATCGCAATGTTACATAGAATAAAATGGTCACTGGATGATAACTCCCTATATTTATTATATAATTCACTTATTGCACCATATTTGAACTATGGTATAGAAATCTGGGGCACAACATATAAAACTTACACAAATTCTATCTATATATTGCAAAAAAAAAGCAATAAGAATCATTACAAGGAGTAATTACAGAGATCCATCTAACCCGTTATTCATAAAAACAAAAACATTAAAATTCTATGACCTAGTGGACTACCATATTTCTAAATGTATGTATAATGCAAACAAAAAAAAACTTCCTAAAAATTTACTTATAAGATTTATACAAAGACAGAGTAAATATGAACTAAAAGGTCATGAATTATTTAAAGGAGCAGTGTGTCTCTATATATGGAGATAAAATATAGAATAAGCTGGGTAATGTAATCAAGGATGCGAAAACGATATTTACTTTCAAAAAACTAATTAAAAATGAAATACTGGAATCATATATGTGCAAATCAATTATATAATAAAATTAAATAAAATAAAAATAAAGCTATAGAAGATGTGTGTAGGTATATTCATGTGTGTATGTATAAATATGTATGTATGTATGTGTATATGTAGTGGATACGTGTGTATGTCTATATGTATATGTATAGATGAAGTATGTGCGACCATATGGGCATGCGATGCACTTTAATGTATATATGTATGAATAGGTATATGTGCAAAAATCCTTTTGCTTTTTGAATTTTTATTATTACTATTAATTTTCTCTTTCTTCTTTACGAATTGAACTCAAGTTAGCTAACCAGTCGAGCAATTACTTTGTGTAGGCTAATTAATAATTATTGTTATTTCTTTGTAAAAATGTAATTTTAGTTAAAAAGGGGCAGATAACATAAGTTTTCTTCTTTCAGTTCCCTTTTCATTTTCTTGGTTTGAGAAACCTCATTTTATTTGTTAGTATTGTTTTTCTTTTCTATTTTAATAACAAATGAAATTAATAATTTTAAAAAATGAGGGCTCTAGCAGCATTTAAAATGTTTTGCTTTATTACTTTTTTTTCCACAGTTGGCTTTGATTTCCATCTCAGTGTCTCTGTTCCAAATGTTTGGAAGAAAAGTGGTCTTAAAAAGAACCAGTCAGCTGATAGATGAAGCCGACGACCACCCAGACTCCACCCCTGATGACCTTCTGGACTGTGCAGAGCAGAATTATGCCTACATGGGTCCTGATGCTGATCACACACGCCCACCACTACATGACCCTCAAAGAAGTCAACAGCCTGCCTTGTAACTATGACAACCAGCATCTAAACCCGACAATTCAGTGCTTCTCTTAAGTCTGAAAACAATTCTTCTATTATCCGTCAATTCTGAACCTGCATTTTAATTTTAAAAGCGTTTGTTTAGTTTTCTGAGAATCTCTGGAAGTGTGCGAATAACAAAGCAATTTTCTAGGGATAGCCATGGCCACCCCTTGGGGTCGCCACTGCAACATCAGAAAGTGCAAACCAAGCTGCAGTTTGGCTTATTACCTGTATGTGGCACTCACACTCAGAAACGTCTGTTTAGACAAAAATTTATTAAAAAAAAACAGATGAGAAACATTTCAAGCATTAAAATTCAATAAATACAAATACTCATGTAACCATCATTTCACTGATCCTCACACACCTGAGTGCATTTAAGTTAATGGTAAATGTGTTCTTCTGCACTGGTGTTGTTACAACAAAGCACTGATCTTACAGCAACATCTATAGTCTCACAGAGAATTACAACAAAATACTGGAGATAAGGTTTAATAAAATACTAAATACAACTTTTTGAACTTTAAACCATATGATTTAAAACATTTCAGTGCAAACTAACAATTCAAGGTGTTACTGTACATAGCGACTTTATGTGCATGAAAATCATGAGGCAAAATCATAAAGGTCAAAGGTTTCAGTGACTTTTGTTTGTTTCTATGCTTGGTGGTATGTTTCTGTTTTTTATCACAAAAACGTCATAGTGGGTTAAATATCTGATTTTCCTGGAGTTAAAACATCAGTCCAGCTGACTCCAGACAGGAAATATAAAAAAAAATCAGTTACTGATAAAAGTTCAGTTTAAGCTGCTCTGAGTTTTAGGGACCTCCTCCCATCAGGGACCAGGATCGGGTCAGACCGGGACAAGAGGATGAAGGAGCTGGGATCTTTGTCAGGAACTAGTGTGTGTGTGTGTGTGTGTGTGTGTGTGTGTGTGTGTGTGTGTGTGTGTGTGTGTGTGTGTGTGTGTGTGTGTGTGTGTGTGTATGTGTGTGTGTGTTATGTGAGCAAAGCGGCCACCTGTTGCGTCCAGCACAAAACACACCTCATGGATCCAGTCAGGATGTCTATATCTGGAGACGGAGAGGAAAAGGAGGAGGAGGGACAGTCTTCAAAGGCCACCTTGGAATCATTCTGAAACCAACCAATCAATCAATCAATCAATCAAATTTTTTCTCAATTCATATAACAAGATTCAATTCAATGTCTGACTTTTTCTCTCTTAAGAACACATTCCTCCTTTCTTTTCTTTTTTCCTTCCTTCCTTCCTTCCTTCCTTCCTTCTTCTTCCTTGTTTGTTTCTTTTGAAGAATTTCATCTGTTCTTTCTATCGCTTCCTTTTATTTTTATTTATTTCATCCTCCCCTTATTTGTTACTCCCCTTCCTTGCTTCCTTCTTTACTTCCAACACATTTTCTTCCACTTCTGTCTTGCCCTCCATCTTTCCTTCTCAGTGTTTACTCCTCCAGAGCAAATAGCCAATCAGCAGCCAGAGACTCACCAAGTGTTGCAGCAGGTCCTGGTTCAGTAACACAGCCGGACACAGCGCTCCATCAGGAGAGAACGGTTGGAGTTTCTCTGCACATGCCTGATTCTGGATTAGTCTGTCGGTTAACTCGGATACCTGCAGCCGACAGGAAACAGAGAAACCTTCAGAAAATCAGCTGATGATCATGTTACAGTTTCTGCTGAACGAAAGGTCATTTCATCAGACTATTTCTCAGGTTTTAGAGATCTGTATCAGTGGGCTCTGGGTGGTACCTGGCTCCAGGTGAAAGCTGTCTCATTGCATTTTGGAATAAAAAGATTTTCCATATATTCCTACAGAAAACAAAAACAAAAGTCTAATTAAATTGTGCTTGTAGTTCAGGGTTATAGAGAAAGCTGCACGTCAGGTCTCTCACCGTCGTTTGGAGGACTCTGCTGTAGTTCTGCAGAACCTTCAGCAGGTCTTCAGTGATGCTCCGTACCTCAGAGTTTATTGGCAGTGATTTACCTGCTACAAGCTCCGCCCAAAATCTCAGGAACAGGATGTAGAGGGAAACACAACGCACTGCAGGACAAACAGGTTTGTTTTAAACAAACGTTCACTTAACATGATCTGAAATCTCCAGGGATCATGACTTAAATTAATAAAAATAAATATTCACAGAACATCGGGTTTAAAACAGCTGGTAGGATTGATGCTCATTGACATTTTAGACTGTTCAGTTGTAAATAAAGATAAAATAATTTGAATTTTGAATCTGACTTTTAAAAAAGTTGCTTTGTGACAGAAAAGTTTCACATTTAATGAAATTTAAAGAGCAAGTCACCCCTACCAGAATCTAACTCCATTCCAATTTCTTGTTTGAAAAGTGCACCACAAGAAGGCGTTGCCTGGCAGACCGAGAGGGCGGAGCAGGTAACAAATACACACACACACTGGCTCACAGCAGCATTGTGACATCATATGATACCAGCTAGCGCCATAGGGTACCTCTTAGCTAATAGCGATGACAGATTTAAAATTCAAAGAGTTTTTACCTGAAGAGGCCGCAACACTGACAGCTTTAGGCAGAATATTTAAATTCTAGCAAAGATGCATTAAAGTTTTAATGTATTGACTACATGTGTCTACAGTCACAAAGAAAAGGTTGATTCGGGGGTGACTTGCTCTTTAAAAATAACAGCTTTTTCTTCTTTAAGGTTAAAAAAAACAAAAATATGAGAAAAATATATTCAGTGGTCAGATTCAGATGTTAGATCATTCAATTAATATTTAATTTATCCTGAAATTCTATTTCGGTCTGTCGTGTACCGAATGGCCGAGTTTTTCATCATAAATGACCAGAAGTTCATTTGTAACTTACAGGCCAAACTTCTTCATACAGGCTAATCTGACACTGTGATGCTGATATAAAGAAATGAACTTGAGCCAATATTCTTAACAAATACATGCATCATGAGTCATCAAGGCTGCAAGACCAGGACTTCTTATCTTTTATTTATCCTCTTTGAATAAAGTCTATCTAGCCTGGCTCTCATAAATTACTTTAAAACATCATATAATCATATTTTGTTGAATGAACAAATTGTTTAAATCAAAGTGTTTTAATAACGTGTCTTACATTAATGAATGATGGTTAAAATGAATAGTTTTCCTGTAATGATTTGTTTCAGATCTAAAATTACACCAGTAATTGTTGAATTAATAATTTAATCTATCAGTGTGAACATAGTAATGTCACCATATTATCGTAAATGGTTTAAAACATCTGTGCTTTATATAATCTGTTCAACATTTTCACTTCACACTAAGAAATAAACTCTCTAAGTTTGTGAGGGAAGGAGGGATCTTCTGAGGTATTTTGGTCATGCCCTTTAAAACTGGTCAAATTCTGATTTGTCTAAATTTGTCAATAACATTTAATAAAAACAGAAATGACTTCCTGATCCCTATCTCCTGCAGCTTACTCTGTAGGCCAACCTGATGAGCAAGCATTTGGAACCATCCTCTCTTTTGACCCCAAGGTCACAATTCATATTTACATGGAATATCACATCCTATTGATCATTTAACAAACATTTAGTTAATCCTCACCGCTACAGGTCATTAAAAAGAAAACTTTTGACATCTTATTGAGAACTAAAAAAAAACTATTGTTTTCTATTTTTTTAACTTTTTAAGTTTTTACTTTTAATATTTCTGCTTTCCTGCATTTGTGGTTTTTAAAGACCCAAACAAGCTTTAAATCATGTCACTAACACTATAAAGACTACCAAGGGTTAACAAGAACTCACTGATTAAAGTAAAATGAAACAAATCTTTGCCTTGAATCTTGGTGCTATATAAAGAAAATCCTGTTTCTGCAGAAGTCTGAGTCACTTCACGTAGATCAATTTATCTATGAAACTTTCACTTTCTGCTCTGTGGAGACTGGGTTTGATTAGAAACATGTGTGTGTGTGTGTGTGTGTGTGTGTGTGTGTGTGTGTGTGTGTGTGTGTGTGTGTGTGTGTGTGTGTGTGTGTGTGTGTGTGTGTGTGTGTGTGTGTGTGTGTGTGAGCGAGAGAGAGAGAAGTGGAAAATATCATTTCTATAGCACCTCTCAAGAAAAAAATCACAAGGCGCTTCACAAAAACAAAAAAAAATGTAAAAATATAAAAAAGCATTTAGAAAATGTTTTAAAATATATTTAAAATGAGCAAAAATAAGCAATTGGGATTTAAAAGAAAAAAGTTAAGAAAGAGAGAGAGTGAATAGGAAAGAGGGAAATCAGTGGATCCTGAGGAAGGTGGAATAGGTGGGGAGAGCAGAATAAAGAGAGAGTGGTGAAGAAGGTCATACAAAAGCCAGCTTGAACAAGTGAGTCTTCAGCTGCTTTTTAAAGGAGACCATTGAGTCCACTGATCTCAGGCTCAGGGGGAGAGAGTTCCAGAGTCTGGGGGCCACAGCAGCAAATGATCTGTCGCCTTTGGTCTTTAGCCTGGTGCGCTGCACAACCAGTAGGCTTTGATCACTGGACCTCAGGGAACTGCTGGGGGTGTAGGGACTAAGAAGATCACCAATGTAAGATGGTGCTTGTCCATGTAAGGCCCTATAGACCAGAACCAGGATCTTGAAATGAACCCTGAAGTTGACTGGCAGCCAATGAAGCTGGAGGAGAAGCGGGGTGATGTGGGTGTGTTTGGAGGACTTGGTCAGAAGCCGAGCACAGGCATTCTGAACCACCTGTAGACGGTTCAGGGAGGTTCTGCTCAGACACGTGAAAAGAGAGTTACAGTATTCTAAGGGTGAGGAGATGAAGGTGTGGATAACAGTCTCAAGTTCAGAGCGGGACAGAATGGGACTCAGCTTAGCAATGTTCCTGAGATGGAAGAAGGAAGAGCGAACAAGAGAACTGACATGAGAATCCAGGGTGAGAGCTGGGTCAAAGGTCATGCCAAGATTCCTGACAGAAGTGTGTGTGTGTGTGTGTGTGTGTGTGTGTATGTATGTGTTGGGGTCACTTGGAGATTTCCCTTAGAACCTGTGTTAATCAATACTGCCTGAAGGCAATTAAAAACAGATGATGGAGATTTCATCCCTCACAAACTCAACTTTAAATCTGTACTCAGGCTGAAATTAGCACAGAAAAACCTTTGATGCAACAAAATCAGCTGATAACTGAATAAAAATGCTGCTGAGTAAAATAAAACATTCCAAAAAAAGTAAAAATTTTGCATAAAATTTTGTTTTCAGAGCTGCAGCTAAAGATGAAACCAGAAATACTGACTTGTTTTCTGGAGCAGCTGAGATGCTTGGTCGTGGTCCTGGTTCTGATTGCAGTCCTGGATCTGGTCTTTGAAACCAAAGCTGCTGCCAAAGAAGAAGACAGGATAAAAATGAATTAGTTATCTTATGAAAGTAGACTCAGCTGAGCTGCTGTCTCCTTCAGGATTGCTCTGATTCTGATCCTGGTTCTGGTTGGATATTTATCCTCCATCAATTCCGGGTTATTCTGTGGAAGTGTCCTGCCATCAGAATTTGGGAACTCCCAGCTCATTTCATCACTTGATGGAATTCAGGAATCCACACCTTCAGATAGCAGCTGAATTCATCACAGCCTGAGTCAGAAATCGTCAAAAGCAGCAGATAAAAATACTCCAGATGTGTTCAGCAT